TAATGTCGCCCTCGTTAAGTTAACCTAATCCTGATTTGTTTTTAGCCTAAGTCTTAATCTTTTCCAAACCTAACCTGCAATTTAACATATATCCCACTTAATAAAACAACACCTCATCGGGCAATTTCTTCGTGATCACAACATTATTTACCAAGTTTCACTAACTCGCCCACTGAGACTTTCAAGGTCAACTGTACGGTCGCTCTCCTTTGGCACTTAATGACGCTAAAAGTTCAAACTGTTCCCTCCGAGAGATTGAGACGTTTTCTTAGAACATATAGAAGAATGATATCCTATGTAACGTTTTTTAACGTTTAATTATCCACAAAGACGTTTTTCCAAATTGCTTACCTTTACGTCGCACGCATCTTATTGGTCTGCAAAGATTTGTCGAGGTCTTAGTAGGTGGTTTCGTAATGGGCTGAAATAGTCAAGGGTAACTAGTTTTGTTATTGGTCTAGGTTTAAGGTTTGGACTAGGCTAAAAGTCGGGATGAGGGGTTGCGGTTGTGGTTAGAGCTGGCGGTAGATTAACGAGTAGTGTCACAAATATCAATCGGCCTCAAAGAACCATGATCCACAGTTACCTGTGCCAATACCTCTATGGCGCATAGCTTGATTTCTCTATGGATTGATTGTCTAATCTACGACCAACACATGTTATAGAAATGACTCCTCATTAACACCAGAGATATAGAAAAAATTACCACCACTCAGGGTGCGGGGAAAGAAATTATGGAATTATGTAATTGATAGTGCAAATTTCTGTCAGCATCTTGAAGTGATTATCGGAACGTTGTGCTCGGAACGTCACTGTGTGATCAGATCAAGTATGACTTTATTGATTTCAGTAATTCCCAATTTGCGCATTTAGAAAAAACAACAACAACTTGCTACCCAGACCATTCCTCATTATATCTAGCCCTCCATACCATTCAACTAACGTTACAGAAAAACTCGTGATGAATATTATGAAAGATACTTTTGAGTTTGTAGAAGCAATCAAGGGATTACATGTGAAGAACAAATATTTGATATCACTGGATGCATCTTCCTAATTCACCAATGTGCCTTTGATGAAAACAGTTAAATACATGGGTAATGAATTGATAAGGCAAAGTAAAGCAAGGCTTCTGAATGTCGAACTTCAATTGTGGTGGTCTGTTTCCAGTTGTTTTCAGGGATTTTAGCCTCCTCTATAAGGTCCTTTGAACTAGATGATGGTCTGAGTCCACAGTTGTCAAAATATAACTACATTTACATCTCGAACATTTATATTGCTCCTGGATGCAATTCCACAGAACTGTCTTTATTTGCGAATCTGCTCTCATTGTCGACTTTGTACCCAGTTGGCTGCGTCTCCAGGCCGCGTAATCATGGAGAATGACAAACATTGTAATGTCCCTCGTGTGAAATGGTGTCAGAGTTTTACACCATTTTCGATACGCCAGCAAGATCTTCGGTGAAATGACTTTGCAACACTCAACTCGGTGACTGATAACTCTACTCATCACTGCTAACACGAAAAACGGAGACAGAAACGGAATAGAAGCTTTCGCGTGCTTGTAATTTATTGAGGAAATGTCGTTTGATATATATTTAATAATATTTTTCTTCAAGTCTATCTACGAACACACCTATTTTACAGGCATTTGTAAGTATTGTTTAAATTACATATTTTGGCTTATGGTCAGTGTACATGGTCCATTTTATTTTTGACTTAGGCTTGCGAGGGCACTCTACTTACAGTCATTATATGTAGTTCACTAAGTACTATAGGAATACAGGAAAGATAATAGTTCTGCAAAGTGACTCATTACCACCATTTATAGCTCCGTGGCATTCTGTATGCTCGATTTGGCTAAGATTTAGAAAACTGTTTGAACACCAGTTGTATCTTCCTTTCAGATTATGAACAGGTGGCACACACTACTGGCTGAGTATTCCCTGCTTTTCACTTCGTTAAGTGTTAAAATGTTAGTATTCCATTGGTTTTGTACACTCTCGTATAAGGACCCTCATTATATCGACTGAAGCATCTCGGAAATGCTGTAGCGTAGGACTGGAGACATTGATGAATCTAAAAATGACGTCACCTACAGAGATCACGTTGATTTTAAGGGTAGAACCTTTCTTGGTTTATCTACTAAGGCTCCTACAGATGACTAGCAGTTGTTTTGCAGCACGTGAAGAAGAAGCACTCTGTGTAACCCTTTTATGTCTTTGCTGTTCGTTATTTCTATAAATATACATGTTTTTACACCTAAACCAACATTTCGCACGAGGTTGGTAAGTTCATGTGCTCCAAAGGCTCAAAATTTATACTTGTATGGATGGAAAACCACTGTGAAGCGCATTTTTCACGAAATAAACTTCCGTGCCCTTTACTGCTGCAGTCGGAAAGACGCGTTGATGTTTCAGCGAAGTGACTGGATACAGTGAACCAGACCAATAACCTATCAACCATTGACAGCGGGTCATATTTACCAAAAAGGTAACCATATCCTAAATTCATACGAACTGTGATCAAGATTTGACCGGATGGTTGCAAAATAGTTGAGCGCTAAGTGAGTAGATATTTATAAAGTTATATTTGTAAAATCTCAGCAAAACTGAAATGATTAATTCCAACGTTTCGTTCAACAATCTGGTCCGAACTTCTTCGGGGAAAAATTGTACAGAGCAAAACAACGGTGCTCGTAGTAATTCTATGGGAGGATTTTAGGCACAGTTGGAAAAGGATTATATTGAAAAACTGTTAACAAAAGAATTTTATGTGCAGCCATTTATAAGAATTCATGAATAAAAACTGTTTTGATATATTAAAGATACATGACAGGACATAATGTAGATTACTGTGTAAAGAGTCTATACAAGAAGAAGGGAAAACAAGATTGAATTTCCGCACTCTTTACTAGCACCCTTATCGGAAAAAACATGCTTTTATTGCAGGAGTGATTTCAAGATACAACAAGAATTTAATGAACTCTGCCACTATGAAGTGCTTCAAGTCATGTCTTTCCTATAATAAGTATTTAACTGGAAGTTGTAAAGATTAGAAGGAGTAGTGTGAACTGCACCGTTGAATTGTGCTTTGATTCACTTTCCACGTTCGACAGAGAATAGTTAATCCATTACTTTTACAAAGTGTAAGTCACTCAGATCTACTGTGAACTCAACTTCAGGTAGAAATTCACTGTTCAGAGCATCCTGGCTATTTTTATTCCACCCATACAACACCGTCGCAGATGCCGTCGGTCACATACTCCCCTCACTCCATTGTCACGGCAGACCCTAATACACTGGCTACTTTTTAAAAAGAATAAAAAAGGTCAACCTCACAGGCCTCTGTCCGACCGCCCCACATAACAATCTACTGATGGATGTGAGCACCACAGCAAAAAACATAGACGCCCCTGCGAGATATGGAGGAAAATACATTCGGCTTATATTATGAGGTTAAACAAACGCACACGTTCCAGCTAAAGCACTGAGTTATCAGGAGAATTTTTTCGGGGATTCAGTTATTGCTCGGTGCTTTTGTGTACCATTAAGTAGTCTTTCCGACAAAAGTTTATGTCACACCGTTTTCCTTTCAAGGTACATTGATCACTGAAAAAAAGGTTGATGAAGCATGAGATTCACAGTAAGTCTGTGTGACGAATTACTGCGAGAGAAATAAAAACCCCACAGTAGTAAGGCACCATGGCGCCGCTAGGATGGTCATCGCTGGTGTTGCAGCTGGATGCTGTCGTCGCCCGGGTTACGTCCTTAGGTCAAAAATTTCCTCAAGTTTATTGGCCTGTGACTTTCCTCATGTAGCACAGTTAAGCTGGGTGTATATGGTCAAGCACCCTTGCTATTTGATAAACTGTTATGCATGATAGTGAACACTGAGTGGCAAAGGTAACACTAGTGACTGCTGTGTAGCCATCTTGTACCTTGGACATACTTCCTGCTGGCTCCCAGTCCTAACCCGCCTTTCCTGGTGACCAGGATTTTCCTAACGCCGCCGCAACTAGGGAAGTCAAAATATACTCAAAGGTGTATTGGTTGAGGATGCTATGGAGAGATTGCTAAAATACACAACCCCAAAATAACGTAGTTTCAGTGTTATTGTCTCTTGAAAATACGATTTTCCAACATGTGTTTCGTTCTGCACAGATAAACGAATCAATCGTAAAAGTTTCGATTGACCTGACGATCTTCCTTGATCCTTTACAGATCCTTTAACCACAGGTAAAATTCCAGATGTATCTAGCTCAAGATACAATAATACATTTAGTGATAAGACACCCAAAAGGGTATCAAACCTGTTTATTGTAACAGACACATTGGAAGAGCATCAAGAAGAGTGACGCAGCAATGAAAAACTTCTTCTCCAGAGTCTGTTCGTATGAGTCGTGTGTAACAACATGTCTAACAGGTTCACAGAATAACAGAACAGATTCTACAGACACCAACCAAAACAGCGTGTTCCAGTTTCTTTGAAAGTCATACACAGGAAAACAAATATCATAAGATGATCTTCATCCGAGATGCTCGAGGAGTCGACAGACCACGTAGACTGCTCATTGTCAACTAAATTCACGGTAACCTGCTCACATGGAGTGTTGCCGCGATATCGGACAAGTGGAGTGATAACGCTCATTCTTATGAGAGGATATGGGCACTTCCCTCATAAGTATGGAGCTATCACCCGTGCTAGAACCGTCGTTACAATGTTCGAGGAATGGTCGAGAAAGCAATCAAGACATTTTGAGAAGACAAAAATGTTTTTCCGAGGCACAATACGGTCTTCCATTAGACCTCAGGGGCCTGGACTCGCAGAAGCGGAAGTCTAGGTAAAGTTCACAGACATTAAGAGATCCATCGACTTCATTTTCATAGAATTTAGTTGGATTACTCATAAGAGACTGCTCAGCCAGATAAAGGATTTCTGGGAAACAGGAGGCTGAATCAAGAACCGTGTCCCAGACACAACAGATCCTCCACACCTACCAAGAGCAGTCATCAACCATGCTTACTGGGCACAGAAGTACAACTGCAGACACAGATGGTATACCACTCCTCTCAGTTAAGTCATACACCATTCTAGGCTTCATGGTTTGTAATGAAGTAGGACGTTGGACCTGATATACGTTCTGTTTTACTGTTATGAAACGTATTGAGGTATTTATTCGTTGTGAAGAACTTGATCCCCAACCTTTCTAAAATAATCTCAGAGGAAGCGGTATCTGTACCATCATTTGCTCTGTCCAAGGAGATTGACATAGAGTCTCAACCTTCCATCCCTAGCCGAAAATCTGAATCTGACCGCTTTGACTATTCGAATTCAGATAATAAGGACTAAAGGTTCTCGTTGCCCTTGTTAACCTTTGAAATATACGTATCTGCAGAGATCGAATTCCTCTTCGAAAGTGTTCACCGATATTGCTATTACTGATGAATGAGGTGTGAAGCCCCAGTCAATGACGACTCTGTGAGAGAATCTAAATATCACACGTATTTTACTTGGCTTCGGTTTGAGCATATTTCTGTAGTGACCTCATAACTGTATTATATAGGGAGGAAAAGGGTTAGAAAGGCCAATTCTTAAATCGTCTTGTAGCATACTATATTTCATAATTGAGTCAAGTTTCCTCGTTTGGTTTGACAATGGGAAGGTATTTAAACGCTCCATACTTCCATCATCAGGAGGGTGTGAGTTGCCGCTTGAAGATGTGTACTCATCATTTGAATGCAGCATTCTTAACGAGGCCTGATATATGTTGCATGAATTACCCAAACATAGACTCGTCTAATATTTTGAAAGCTCCTGAAAGTGACCATAGCATAGCTGAGGCTTCATTACACTTCGTCGTTGTTCTTAATTCATGGTTTGCATTAATTCATTAATTCCACTGTCCCTTAATATTTGGTAGCCCCTTGTGTCCTAAGGAGTATGATGTGTTGGACCTGTAACCTAGGTGCGTTGACGCGCTTTCCCTGGAATTAGTTAACGAACTTCAGAAGTCGGCCCATTCAGCTGATTTTTCTAGATCATTTTGTGATACCAACCCGCAATTACTCTTGCGTTTTTCTATATTTTAATATCGTCCGAAAAAAGATGAGGTAAGAATTTCTGGTGATTCATATAAGTAAAATAGGAATAGCAGGGGCCTGGTAAAGTTCCCCGCGGTACTCCACCTAGTACTGCTTTCCACCATAAACCCTTACTTTCTGCATTCTATCCATGAGTTAGTCGTTAAACAACTCACAAGGGAGTGGGACTCATCGAAAACCTTTTAGTCTACAAATGAGACCTAAGTGAGGTACTTTATCGAATGCCTTATTAAGATCAATAACATAACATAAGCTTTATTCCAAATCAGTACTTGTGATACAGAATGGAATTCTCAGCATTTTACTACAATATTGCATCCAGTTTTTTTTTACATTAACAATAAATAAAGTTCTACATAGATTAAAGTTATCTCAACAACATATTAGTATGTCGGTAGCAAAGCCAAAATTAAAGTGTTTGAAGGTGTTAGAAAAGTAGATACTACTAGCATATTTACTGGCGTAAGCGATAGCAAAATGGTCGAGATATACAGAGTGTGAAAGAACGAACAAGAATGTTTTAAGTAGAGTTTGCAAGGAAGAGAGAAACAAAACAGCACATAACAAAAATAAAATACAGAATGAAGAGCGAGAAAACGTTGTACCTATAAATGATGTGAGTTGGAAAGACGAGATCCATTGGTTCTACTGCCTATTTAATAAGTTAAAGGTTTCATGCCTGATGCATTCTTTATCGCACAGAACACGGGCTAGGTAGGGTATGGATGAGTTTTTGTACTTACTAGTGCGGGCATATAGTTTCCTATATAGGCTTCTTGTTTTCCCTGAAGAGATACATGGGGAGAGTTGTGAATGTAGAGGGTGTTGTGAGTCAGATAAAATGGATTTCGCCCATTTTTCACAAGAGTCCATATGCCTGTCCACCAGAATATTAACAAGCTGGCTAAATGGCAAACTGCTTACCCTGCTGACAACCTTTAACATCCTACGTAATAAGGTATAGTCTTTCTTCAATAGCCCAGGAAAGACTCAGGGGGAACAATAGAGAATAATAGGCAGAATACGGGAGTTAACAAATTGTAAGAGTAAGGGTTGGGTTATACCAGAATGTCTTAACTTCTTGATGTAGAAGGTAAGACGGTATATTTTCTTGGAAATCGTCAAGATATGAGACGACCAGGAAAGATCAGAAGATAAAGTGACGCCTAGGTATTTAATTTCCGACTTGGTTTCTATTTCACTGCCATCTATGTTGCACACCTCGTGAGTGCTAACCAGTTTGTTTAGGTCAGATTTATGCCTAAGGGTGAAATTAATCAATGAAGACAACGTCTAATAGAAAGTTCTCATCCCTGGCTTCGACGCAGTCTTCCTAATGTAACAGGTTTACGAGGTAGGATCGTGCTATTCGGAATACATGTTGTTCTACCACCAGCAAGCCATGCTTCGCCACATGAATTGAGAGCTGACCCCATTTGATTATTTCGAATACCGTAGTACGTCACAATGTCTTCCTATTTCCATCTCTGTCTAAAGAGCTTATATTGTTAATTTTTTCCAGTTCTTAATAGCTTTATTTTATTTTTATTGAGTAAATTTCATTACTTTCCGTTTCATATATTGCTTCTGTCAAGCACACACAACCTACACCAATTGGTTCCATATTAGTTTGTTTATTAGATGTAACTAATATGGAACCACTTAATACCACGGTGCCCAAGTTTTATACATATGTTAATACACCAATTGGTCTACATGAATTCTCTTCAATCTTTCTGTCACTGGAATTATTTACTAGGAGATCTAGCTACTGCTACTCTATTTTCATTTTTCCATGTAAAAACGTATTTTCAATTTTCACTATCTGTCTGTTTGAAGATGCTCCTTCTTGTTTTCAGGTTTGCATAATCTACAATATTTCTGTCTTATAACCTCTCGTCGGTGGCACAACGGTTAGCATGCTCGCCGACCATGCGCATGGTCGGAGGTTCGATCCCCTGTCGATGGACACCTGATATCTATGGTCGGCCTGCAAAATTTAGGCTACCGACGTCCATGCTGAAAATTCCATACTTGTACCGAAAATACGGTGTGGAATCAAGCTGTAATCAAAAATAAAAATGTTTAAAAAGACATCGTAGAAACGACATTGGATATTGCTAACTTTTAGCGCACAATTTGCGTGGGACGTTACTTCCATCGTCTGAGTGAAAGAGGTTACAGTCAGTTTCTAGGTTATGATGAGTTCCTGCGTCAGCTAGTTATATGTTTTCGCGAATTCGTTTTCCATTAAATTTTAAAGGTTTTTCTGGATGTTTTGCTCATTTTGCAGTGTGTAGGTCAGTTTTTTGTCACTGGATGCTACTATTTAGCTTATTTTTAGCCTGAAGCTCCCAGTTATTATGTTGGTAGTCAAGGATTATTGTAAACCTGCAATTATTGAGCTAATTAACGTATACAATGCGAATATAGTAACATAGACTAGGCTCATAACAGTAACATTAAACTCGCTCACTGTTTGCCATTGTTTGACAGTGAAACTGTGCGCTGATTATTCAGTATGAGTGGCACTAAATCGAACCTACTGGGTTTGCTTATCAACGTTGCTCCAGCCTTCACAGGACATATTAAGCATGGACTAGCGTTACTCCAGAGCGGAAAGTTTTGATATAGCACGCAGCTGTCTTTTTAAGCACGACCTGTGTCATTTCAGAACATAGTGGGTAAATATGATCTTCAGTTACCATAAAAAGGCATTATCGAGGAATAGGTTAGAATAAATTTAGAATTGTTTTAAGCTTGGTGGTGCTGTGGTCTATGTGATAAATCGTATTAATCACCGTTATTCTGGATATGCTATGAACCGGAAATCCTCAGCTGAAAAACGCATGAATAAGACACAGATCGGTGTAGTTTATAACTGACTCCAAATTGCTTTCATCACGAAACAATCAACCAAAGTATGCTTTGAACTGTCGCTCTCAGCCATTTGAAGGGAATTTACTTGATTTATGCTGACCTAGTATGCACAAATCCCACAGGTCATTGTATTGACAACTTAAAAAGGTAGGTTAGTTAATACATACATTTATCTACATGTACTAATTAAGGATACATTAAATTTTTAGAATTTGTAGTTAAATTTTATTCGCCTAGTAATCAAAAATGCATACATCCTATTTTGGACTTAAAATAAATGCATCGAAATTATTGTTGATTTATATTCACTTACTAGACATTCTCATACATCTTAACGTACTTCAAACACCACCAATGCATTCAAATAGCGTTTGACTATCACACTACAATAATACCAAAAAAATTAACACGCCATTATATTATGGTAAAGTAAGCCCTAAATCATACTGACTGTAAATTTACGTGTCAAAATAAAAAAGTTACCGCTTTAACTAATATTTTAGACCAATAGGAAGCCAGCTAGCCAACAGCCAATCAAAATCTGCGTATATATATTTTCGTCTGAGTGACAACTTGTTTTTGTTGATAAATGTCGAAATGCGATTTCTTCATGTGTGATTTTGATTAATATCCGAATTCAATAATTTCAGGTAATTCAGTTGCACGGCGTCGGGTTTAAATAAGGTTATTCAATATCGGTTAACCCCTAAACAACCCGTAGGCAATGCTAAAAGTCTTAAATTTGTTTATGTAATTACCTTTTCCCCTTGCTCAGAATATCAGAGAGTAGCTTTTCTCTGTCCTTAATATTTAAAGTGCATACAAATTCACAAACACAGCTGGAGTGGATACCCAGTCGGTGAATATTTTTGGGACCTGAAATATGTGAGTAACGACGTGGGCAGTTTTCTGTTTAAATTTGGGCATAGTGGGAAAAGGTAGGCTGTCTTCGGTTGTATCATGGGTGAATTGGTAATAAGTGAGCTATTTTAGATAGTGACATGTTAAAGTATTCGTTGGGAAAACGTGGGACAGTAAAAATTTTCGGGACATGGGCAAACGGGGGAAAAGCGGCCAATATGTGTTAATTATGTGACATTTATGCCATCTTTTGCCTACCTTTTTGCTGATCAAAATTACCCATTCAGCTCACGTTTTTCCCACATTTTCAAGGTGCATTCTCTGACTGGGTAGGTTATATATCTGGTTTGGATTAGCTAATAGAACATATAATGCTGTGCAATTTTATTAGCTTAGCTGCAGGAAAGCATCCTTTAATTGCTAAACTCATCCGTTTTCGTATGAGCCTATGCTTGATAACAGAATGCCGTATTGATTCTTCATAGCAATATCTTCCCGATCTGAAGTCTCATTTATCTGCTTACTATATCTTACTCAATAAGCCAAATGTTATTTTCTGACTCAAATTCATGAATCTTATCGAAAAATTACAACCTGTAACCATGGAGTATGAAAATCAACTGACAAAAACATTGGTTGAAGAAAAGTTAATTGTAGAATTCGTAGAAGTACTGTAACTCGAGATTAAAATTAAACCGAATTCAGTCAGAAACCTTATCCTCAAAAAGCACATCAGCTGGATAGATATAATCACTGTTTAAACACACGCCATCAACTATCTGACTAGAAACTTGTAAACGAAGATAAAATGGGATATGTGAGGGCAGATAACCGACACCCACATATCACCATACAAGAAACAGAAAGGTGCTGACCGAAGAACGGCGAAGTACAAGAATAGCGTCCCAGGAGTGCGAACGCTCAAATGACCTTGAACGCATGCTAGTCGTTGGCTAACGGTACCTGTCATTATCATAGCTGAAATATCAACCCTGTTCATCAAATAAGGAGCAAGTTTCACGCAGGTAACGCTTTAAATTACTGTTTGGACAATGTGTTAACATCTCGTTAGGGTTAGGACTAGGGTTAAGGCGAGTATTGGGGTTAGGGTTAGGTTTACGGCAGAATAAGGATTGTCATTAGGGTTAGGATTAAGGTTAGGGCTAGTGTGAAATTTAGGGTTAGGGTCAGGATTAAGGCTAGGGTTGCGATTAGGAATAGATTTGTCGTTTATTTCAACTTGTTTTATTATCCTCATTTTCCTTCTATATTGTCATCAACGCTCTTACTGGAAACAGTAACTTAACCGAGGACTTTGGAGAGGACTACACAGCAAGAGAAGGGAGATGAACGATTCAAAAAACAACCAATCTTCAGTCACTTTGGTAAATAGTCCTACTTAGCAACTGATGCTCTTCATCATAACTGGGACGTATTTTTAAGTCATGTCGGAGAAAGATAATCTCTTTAATGTGTTTTCATGCATTTTCTTGTGAATATACGTCATTTTTTGTGCAAAAATTCCTCAATTTTTATGATTGGCAGGCTGAAGGTCATTCGTGCGTTCGCATCCCTTGGGACGCTATTGTTGAACTTTACCCGAGGAACATGAAACAGCACCGAAAAATCTTTATGAAGATGATGACATCATCATGTTTAAACCTTATAAGGGCTCTGACTTTCTTATAATAAACAAAACTGATTATGTACACAGTTCTTAGCTATCCCAAAATATTCCAAGTGGATAAAACGAAGGATATAACGACGGCATATAGAAATAAAGTAAATGAATGAATCGAAAAACTCCTTGTTAAAAAATTGATCGATAACGGGACCTGTAATAAACTCAAGTCAAAAGGTGGACACCTACCGTTTATGCACGATATACACAAAACCTCTAAGTTTAATATACCTTTAAGACCCATACTGTTCGTGATCATTTCATCATACTACAAGCCAGTTCTATGGTTAGTTGATTTCATAGAGTCCATTCAAAATAAATTTGCCATCCATAGCGTGAAAAATGTGCAATTTTCCTAAGAAATAGATCATTTCGATATATTAAATAGACTCATTTTCAAATATACCAGTGGTGGAAACAATTGACATAATTTGGCAACAAATGAATCAGCTACCGCCACCCGAAAGAGATAAAGCGTCTGCTACTTTGCACAAAAGACATACTATTCAAATTTAAAAACCGGGTTTACCGACAATTTAATGTGGTGGCAATGCGTTCACTTCTGGGATCTATTCTGTTTGATATCTTTTTGGGTGAATTCTGATTCTGATGCAACAACCTATTATCGCCAACGTGTTCATAATACGTTTTATGTTTGTGGCAGTACGAATCGCACATCTTTATTATTTGGCCGTCTCAATTAGATTTAGCATAACACTAAATTCACCAAGTTTGATCTTTCTTCATTGAAATTTGTTAATGAACAGCACTCACGTTTATAAAGACAGTTTTCTTTCTCGTGTACTAATAATGCATCTGAGTTGAGCACAATATATAATGTGGTGTCTAAACAAAATTGGGAAGCCAAAGGAACTGTAAATTATGGATTCAATGCATGCATTTCATTCTGAATTTATCCTGTGAATTCCGCTTCAATGTGGTTTAGGTTCTTCGGTAGGGTTATTAAAGGTGACCACTGTAGTTTGGCGTCGCCATGGAAATTAATTGGAGTATTACTGATGACTTACACCATGACCCTGACTATTCACTTAGACTTCCTCCACTGATAGTTCCTGCATAATGTTTGCTATCAGTTTGCGTTGTGTATATTGTTGAGCCAGTTTTAGGATCGCTGTTGTTCCGAAACGAATGCAGTAATCTGCCTACCTCTTTTCCAATTTGGGAAGAGTACTATTGATGAATCGAAACCTCAGTCTTATCTCTAAGGCTGATACAAACGTGGTGCTTAACTTTTCCTTACTTTAAGTTACCTACCTAGCTAATCGGACCTTTGAGTTTATATGAATTCTTGCCCGTATCTATAATCTTATAATCAAGTCTCTCTTTTTGGGGTATGAACAAGTAACTCAATAATATTTTTCAATGGTGCTCAGTGCTGGTTGTTTGCCTTGAGTCATCCTCTCTGTTGTCCGTTTTGTTCGCTATAATTTAACCTTACATCAAGCATTGCACCTCAATGTTACCCTTATGATGCCTACGTAAATTGCCAGAATGGTTTTACAGTCTTTCAGGACGTGTTGTCTTCCGCTGTTTGTCTGATAAAAGCAGATCACATGCAGCCAATCGAAATAGCCGCAGGGAAGTAATAATGATAATTATTATTGTTCCCTCGGGTTCCTAGTGGAACATAGGGCTTCAAATGCACGTCTCCATTTGCTTCTGTCTTTTGCTGTACTTACTTCTCACATGCATCCATGTTAGTCCATACTCTTTCAACTCCTCTTCACATGATCTCCTCCATGTCACCCTTGCACTGACGTCCCACTCGCTGCGTGCTACCCTTTCGGCCTGGTTCCGCTCGAGCACTGGCCTGACGCGCGCACGACGTCACCCAGCGGCCTCCTCAGCGAGCGAGTGTCCAATCCATCTCCACTTTCACCTGCATATTTGTTGGTTGGCGATTGGTTCTTGTTTTGTTTGTTCACGGCCATAGTTTCTTGTTGGTGATTCTGTCCGGCCCGGCCATCTGATCTTCAGTATAGAGCCAGCGAAGACAGTTGTTGATAAAGGTAACGTCTGCAACAGGCTGTTGGAAATATTCTTTGTGACCCGCCCGCCCGCCAAGTTTCTGATCCGTATAGAAGAACTGACTGACTTGACGTTTGTATTGAAAATCCTACTGAATTTTGTTGTTGATGTGGCTGAGTGACGAAGATTTCCAGATTGGTTTCAGGTTGATGAATGTGTTTCTCGCCTTTCCGATTCTTGATATGACATTCTCGTCTGTTCCGACTGCCTGTAGTTGAGACAATGCTCCTTCTCGAGATAAGTGAATGAAGTAGCCTTTTTGAAATCCTTCCCATTGTGATGGTGATTGTGGCTGGATTTTGCTGTTGTTGTTGTTGTTGGTTATTTTCATAACCTCCGTCTTGTCTATGTTCACTTGGAGTCCTGTCTTCACTGTCTGCTTCTTCGACCAGTTTGTCGGTTTTCGCTTGTAAGTCTTCGGCTTTGTGTGACATCAAACATAAATCATCCACGCGCGAAATCCAGGTCTCCTAGGTTCTTCACGTTGGTCCAGGATATCCCTGTCTTCTCGTTCCCCACTGTCTGACGTGTAATCCAGTCCACCACAATTAGGAATATCATTGATGGCAGATAATAAGCACCCTTGTCTGACTCCTGTGTTTACTCCAAACGCCTCGCTGAGTTTTCCGTTGTGGATGACTTGACATGTGCCGTTGTCGTACAGCTATTGAATAAGGTTGATGAATATTTGGGGTAGGCCGTAGTACTCGAGTAGCTTGCAAATTACTTCGCGGTCAACGCTGCCCGTCGAAGGCCTTCTCAAAGTCTATAAAGTTGAGGTAGAAGGTTTGATTGCCATTCCATACTTTATTCTGTGATGATGATGCGTAGAGCTGCAATTTAGTCAGAACATGATTCACCTCTCCTGAATCCAGCTTGTTCTGGTCGGAGTTCTGTGTCCAGTGCGTCCTTTATTCTCTCGAAGATGATGTGACTCAGAATTTTACTTGGCGTCGAGAGGGGCATGATTCTTCCCCTGTTCTTGTAGAGTCCTAGATCGCCCTTCTTTGGTAGTTTCACGGGGTAACCTTTCCTCCAGTCAGTAGGCACCTTTCCCTCCTTCCAGACCTTTTGGAATAATGCAGTCAGCATATCTGCTCTCGCCTGTGGGTCCGCTTTCAGTGCTTCAGGGGGTATTCCATCTGGTCCAGCTGCTTTTCCAGCTTTCAGAAGCTTGATTGCATTCAAGACTTCAGCTTTCGTTGGAGGATTGGTGTCAACTTGCAACTGTGTACGTGGTGTTGTTGGTATTTCTGGACGGGTTGCAGGTGGTAGTCGGTTCAAGAGTCATTTGAAGTGATCCGCCCATTGTTTAGTCTGTCTTTCTTCCTTGGTAATTGGGTTCCCTTGGCTGTCTTTTATAGGTTTCACTTGTGTTGATCTCTTCCCGGATAGAGACTTGGTTATTTGTTATAGTGTCCTCAGGTCGTTTTTGCCTGCTGCCTTCTCAGCTTCAGTGGCCACGTTGTCGCAGAGTTGTCTTTTGTCCTTCCTAGCACTCTTCTTCACTTCTTTGTCCAGTGCTGTGTACGTTGAGCTCAGCGTCTCTTTCTCTTGTCTATCTTTGCATTGAATCATTTTCTCTTTCACCATTCTCCTCTCCTCTATTAGCTTCCAAGTGTCCATTGAGAGCCATTCCTTGTCTTGTCGCTTGTTTCTTTCTAAAACCGTTGAACACGTTCCGTTAAAAATCACCTTCAGAGAGTCCCAATGGTCTTCCACGCATGATTCTTCGGTGATGTTACGTTGTGTTTCCTGCTTTGCTCTGACAGTTGCAGTGAAAGTGTCCTTTGTGGTTGTCTCCTTCAGTTTCTGAGTGTTGAACTTGCATTGTGGCCTATCTTCAGCTATCCTCAAGGCTTTAAGCTTCACCTTGAAAGTCCCCTGTACTAGATAATGGTCTGAACCCACATCTGCTCCTCTCCTCGATCTTGTGTCCAGTAGGCTCTGTCTCCACTTCTTTGAGATTGAAATGAAGTCTATCTGGTTTTTGGTGTGTCCATCTGGTGAAATCCATGTCGCCTTGTGTATATCCTTGTGTTTGAACACACTACCACCATTCACCAAATCATTGAAGGCGCAGAAGTCTGAGAAGAGTTCACCATTGCCGTTCATTTCACCGAGGGCCTCACGACCAATGGTGAGTTCTCTTCCTATATTGTCTCCTCCAAGCTTCGAATTCATATCACCCATCAGGATTTTGATATCGCCATTTGGGACGTTGTCCATTATTGCTTGTAGTTGTTTGTAGAACGCCTCCTTCTTCTCTTGTTCTGAGACGATTGTAGGAGCATAGGATTGAATGACTGTAACCTTCCTTCCTTTTGAGTTGAACCTGGTTGTCATTATCCTGGAGGAGATTAGTTCCCACTGGATGAGAGCTTCGATTGCTGTTGGTAACATCATGATGGCAACTCCCTCGGTGTGCTCATGGTTGTCCTCTGGGTGGCCGGAATAGATTATTGTCTCTCCAGTTGGTAGTTGGCACCTTCCACATCCGTTCCATCTGCTTTCGCAGATTCCCAACACTTCTATTCTATACCTTCTGATTTCTGCGGTTACGTGAACAACCTTTCCAGTTCCGTACATTGTACGAACATTTCACGTCCCCATCCTTATTTTTGCTTTCATCGAAAGAAGGCACATCGGCTGACTGGCTTCCTGAAGGCTTTCACCAGCCTGCGTCATTTCACTTCCCCGATTCCAGCGAAAAGTAAGGCTATTGCTTATGTTTTTAGAATTTTTAATATATTTATTCGTTGAAGTTTCTGTAGCGGTTTGGTTAAGTTTTGGGGATGACGTTGCTAACACCACGCCCCAACCCTCCCTCTTTATTCGGGCTTGGGATTGGTTAGAAAACTAGCAAGCTAGTAGACTAGGCGAAGTTCATGGAAATAATACATGGTACTTATTTAACGTGATTTAATGGGCGAAAATAAAATTTTAACGTTAGCACTCATACTAGTGTTGAACCTAAGTCTAATCTTAACACTAATCCCAATCCTAATCAAACTTCAACTTCAACTGTTTATACGACTTCTAGACCTAAAACTATGTCAAAAAACAAGATTAAATTCTAAATTAGCCCGTGAATACACGAAATAAAATGGTTTCAGAAAGGGTAACCATATGATTGGTTGTACTATTTCATTTATTAGGTCATCCTCTTGGGTTGTGGCACTGTGTTTACTTTTAACGTACTCTCAGTGAGTGTTATATTTAGTATCGGACCCACTTCGCAACAGATTTTTTCCGTCTTGTGCAGCCGATTACTTGCGAAGTCTTAGGATCATATTTAGTTCTGTCAAAGAATCTTCATCTTTATGGAAATTGAATAAGAATTAAAATACTACCTGTCTATGTGAATCTGTGCATCTGGGATCAGGTGTTAATCAAAAGCCATTGAAATTTCCAAAAAAAAACTTTGGAGGTTGTTATATGACTAGTAACAAAAGTCTAGTGTGCAATATAACTCGATTCCTATTTTTTATATACTTTACTCTATTCTCGTGCTTTGTATGGTGAATGAAGATTGGCAACACGAACCGGTGCATTTCTGTGCAAAATTCTATGTTGAAATCAGTCAGTCAGTCGATCATTTTTAAAATGTTATAGTCTGGACATAACGGTCGTAAATGAAGACAGCCTTGTCAATTCGTATAATAATTTAGGAATCAACATGATTTATAGGCAATTTTCGTATGCTTGTGTTGACGCTGAAACCTCTCTAGGCCGTTAGTAAGGCCAGTAAATAGGGAAGGTTGGGCATGAAGCTAGCAACCCCACCCCGTAAAAATAAAACTACTGCTACTGAAACCTTAAAAGCTGAAGCTTGAAGTCCACTCAGAACGTAATGAAATAAAATCAATAAAAAATAAAGGTGTGTTAACGTTATCTTTTGATCGTAAAATCTGTAAACTTTCAGCTTAGCTTAAAGATTTTAGGACAAAATACATTGTTATTATCGTTTAAATGGCTTTTTTCACATACATTACCGCTCTTAAAAAACTTTTTTCCATACTGGATAAGGAGCGACCTACTATTATTTTTGTTGTTTTCTGCTTTCAGTTAACGAAATTTTCTTTGAATCTTTTAATTAAGTTTTACCAGGTAATGGAACAGCAGCAGCCACACGTTATCCCAGATAACGTTTTGCTACACTTGTACACGTAAGCATTTTTATACTACTGGTAAAACAGTTTTTCAGACGCTTTATTCTTAATTTATCCGAAGAGATAAAACGAGAATGCACGAAAAATTTCGTTAGGATATTTTTTGAAGTCGAACGAGCACATTGGTTCTATGTCGACTACTGTATTGAAGATCCATCGGTGGGCGGTGTTGATATGTTCGGCCTTACACAACAGTGTAAGTATTCTTCAATAATGAATAAATTATTCATTAGTATTTAAGAAATTTCCATATATTGTACCTAAGGGAATAAATTGGCAAGAAAAGTTTATTGAGTGGAGAAAATACCGTGGATCCACATGTACCGGGAGTGTAATAATTATTGATGAACACTACAAAATGGTAAGAATGCATATTGCTGATATGTTTTTTAGATCCTTTTAGTCCAGGGATTTTATGGCAACCGTTGGAGCCTTCCGGGTGGTAAAGTAAATCAGAATGAATCGCTTGTCGATTGTGCTGCTCGCGAAGTAGGTTTCATATAACAATTATTTATTAAGTAGGTTATGGAAGAAACAGGATTGGATCTGGGTAATCGTATATCACCATCTTTGTATATCGATCGTCATATTGGGGGTACCTTAAGACGAGCATTCATTGTTGAAGGACTACCAAGAACATCTCGACTGAAACCTGGAACAAAAAATGAGATCGAAGCTATAACCTGGTTTGAAGTTGCAGATTTGCCAATGCATATCGAAGATACTGCAACTATGGAGAAATTGAATTCTAAACCAAACAATTTCTTCTTGGTTATGCCGTTCATCCTGTAGGTACCTGTTTCGGTCTCAGTAGCATACTACTACTTTTATGTCGATTTCCTGTTATGAGATGATTCAACTAGATTTTCTAATTAATCCTGTGTCACGTCAGTAATCTTTGAATATAGTCTGACTTAAGTGGTTAATAAAGGAGATAAATCAGGAAACCTATGTGAGTACATATATATATATATATATATATATATATATATATATATATATATATATATATATATATATATATATATATATATATATATTGGGAGGTGCTACTACTTGAACAAAGTGAAAAATATTTTGTTCTTCATTTCTATCCATGAAATTCTGAATAACCTGCTAAGTGAAACTGTCCTTTTATCATTAAAATTTTAAAAGTGTATAACATCTCATTCGTATACTAAGTTACATGAAATTGTCATTTCTCTGATGTTTCTTGCCAGGAAGTGGTAGAATTTATTGTAATTGGTTTAATTTTGAACACTGATCCTGTTGATATAATGTTGACTGCTACTACTTATAGCTAACTGTTTACCAATTTGTGACAGTTAAAAATCCAGTGAATATATCTGTTGCATATAATCATTGGATTGCATTCTCAACTCGGAACTGGTAAAATCTATCTTAACCTGTTTTGTTTCAGAACACTGATTCTGGGGACATAAATTGCCAATATGTGACTTAAACACATTGAGCGGTCACCTATAACTAACTTGTATCTATAATTCCATATTTTATTGGATTCACATGCCCAAGTCAATGGAGTCTCTACTTTACGTGTTATTTTCGGTAATTGTGTTTAACAGTTATAGTTTTGCTACAGCTTTTGTTGCTGTTGTCGCTGCTTTTCCTGTTGTGATTCTTTGTTGTTCTGATTGCTTCATTTATTGTTTTCCTGATTCTAAATGGAGTAACCCAAAAAGCTGCTCCTCTGTAACTTACGTCTCTATGCAACAACTTAATCCTCCGAAGTAAGGCTAGCGACCCCATCATGTAAAGAACACTACTGCAGAAACTATAGTGCTATAAGTCGCCTGGCGAAGAAAGAAACAGTATGTATGGGGACATGGAACGTCCGTACTATGTATGAGACTTACAAAGCTACCCGGATTGCAAGTGAGATCAAGAGATATCTTATTGAAGTACTGGGAATATACGAAAACAGGCGAATGGGAGTGGACTTACCAAATTTTCAACGGGAGTCAGTAATCTACTCTAGTCACCCAGAAGACAACCACTAGCTCACCGAGGTTGTGGCTATCATGATGTCACCAACGGCAACAAAGGCCCTGATACAATAGCAGGCGGTCTCACCGAGAAAATGACCGCCACATTCAACTCAAAAGGAAGGAGAATGACAATTATACAATGCTACGCACCCATAAACAACGCGGATCTAAATAAGAAAGAAGAGTTCTAGAGGCAACAATGGACAATACTCCAGTCGGTGGCATTAAAATCCTAGTGGGAGATATGAACGCCAAACTAGGACCAGACAAGACATGAAGAGAACTCGTGAGTCGAGAAGCACTTCGAAAGATGTATCAAAACAAAGAATTCTACGGAGACTTCTGGGCCTTCAATGAACTAGTTATTGATGGCGGCGTATGAAAGCACAAGGATATCCACAAGCCTACGTGGGTATCATCAGACAGGCGAACTAAAACGCAAATTTACTTCATCTCAAGCTTGCTGAAAGAAGTTGAGACGCGGTTTATATTTATTATTTATAATCACCTTGCATTTCACCTGTAACTGAAACAATGCTTCCTGCCTAGTCAGATAAGTGAAGGAAGTAACTTCTGTCCAGTCCCTCCCGGTGATGTTGATTGGTGCTGGTTTTTGTTGTTATTGTTGTTGTTGTTGTTGTTGTTGTGGTTCGTTGGTTATCTTCATCACCTCCGTTCACCTGCAGTAGTCCTGTCTTCGCCGACTGCTTCTCCAACCAGTTTGTTGGTTTTCGCCTGTAAGTCTTTGAGTTTGTGTGATATTAGACATATATCATTCACTGGCGAAATCCAGACGAAATCTTCTAGAGTCTTCTTATCAGTCGTCCAGCGTATTCCTGTCTTCTCACTCACTGTCAACACACAGTCTGACGCCTTATCCAGTCGACGACAATTAATAAGATGATCGGTGATAATAGACAGCCGGACTTGTCTCACTCCTGTATGCACTTCGATCACCTACCTGAGTTTTCCGTTGTGGATGAAGTGATAGATATGTGTCACTGTCATATAGTCAGCTGTTGAATGAGGTTGATGAAGACGTGGTCACTGCACGGTGTAGTGTTGAAGTAGTTTCCAAGTGACGTCTCGGTCAAGGCTGTCTGTCGAATGGCTTTTCTAAGTGGATGAAGGAAGTAAAGGTAGAGGTAGAGGTTTGGGTGACATTCTATGCTTTGTTGTATGATGACGATGTAGAGAGTTGTAATTTGATGAGCACTGGATTAGCCTTTGGTGAGTCCAGGTTGTTGTGGTCGAGGAGGCGTGGCGGAGTTCTGTATCCAGTGCATGTTTTATTGTCTCTGGGATGATGCGACTTAGTATTTAATTTGGCGTGGACAAGGGCATGATTCCACTCGAGTTGTTTCAGAGTGAGGCGTAAGTCTCTCTTCCTTGGCAGCTTGATGAGGTAGCCTTTCTCCCAATCGGTGGTCACCTTTCCTTCTCTCCAAACCGTTTGCAGTAGTGACGTGAGCAAGTGTGCGTCAGTCTGTGGGTCGGTTTTCAGTGTTTCGGGAGGAATTTTGTCTGGTGCAGCTGCGTTCCCGGCCGGCTTTCAGTAGGTCGATCGCATTCAGGATTTCTCCTTTCGTCGTTGGAGTAGGAGTGGTGTCCCCTGTTATCCAGTTCCGTGTGTGTGTGTGTGTGTGTGTGTGTGTGTGTGTGTGTTGTTGTTGGTGGTGGTGGTGAGTTTCCGGTGGTGGTTGATTCCAGAGTCGTTTATAAAGTGATCAGCCCATTGTTTGATTTGTTTCTCCTCGTGGGTTGTCAGGTCTTCTTGAGCATCTTTTATTGGTTTGATCATCTGTGTTGATCTCTTCCCGGATAGAGACTTGGTTATCTGATATTGTGTCCTGATGTCTCGTTTTCCTGTGGCCTGTTGTGCTTGAGTTGACAGCCAGTGTGTCGTAGAATTGTCGTTTGTCTTCCCTAGAACTGTCCTCTCCTTCTTTATTCAGTGCAGTGTATATTGAACTCAGCTTGCCCTTCTCTTGTCCGTCTTTGCATTGAGTCATCTTCGCTTTCACCACCCTCCTCTCTTCGACTAGCTTCCTCTTCTCTTCCTAGAACAGTTGTACACGTTTCCTTGAATTTCGCCTTCAGAGCGTTAGTTCCAATGTTCTTCCACATACACAAGTTTCCTCAGTGATGCCACTTGGTGTCTCCGACTTTTCTCTGATCTGAACTGTAGTGGTGTCGCTTGTGGCTTTGTCCTTCAGTTTGTGAATGTTGAACTTGATATGTGGTGACCTGTCTCCAGTTGTTTTCAGGGGTTTCAGCTTCACCTTGAAGGTCCCTTGAACTAGATGATGGTGTGAGTGAGCCGGCATCTGCTGCCTTTTTCGAATTCGCATCCAACAAGCTAGTTAGCTGCATCTCTGCTTACTTTCTTGAGGAATGTTGACGTGAAGTGTATCTGGTTTGTAGTGTGTCCATCAGGTTAAATCCGTGTTGGTTTGTGTTTATCCTTGTGTTTGAAGACGCTTCCTCTGATCACCAGATCATTGAAAGCGCAGAAGTCTGTGAATAGTGCTCCGTTCTCCGAGAGCCTCTCGACCGATGGTGAGTTATCTTATCTTCCTGTATTACATGCTCCCATCCCTGTCGGCGTTCATATCGCCCATGAGGATTTTGCTGTTGTCACCATTTGGGATGTTGTCCATTACTGTTTGTAGTTGTCTGTAAGAATCCTGCTTCTTTTCTTGTTCCGAAGTTGTTTGTAGTACTGTGCGTAGTACTGCATGATAATTGTGACGTTCGTTCCTACCTGTTGAGTTGAATGTTGCTTTCATGATCCTGCATGAGGAGATTGGTTCCCAGCGCATTTGGACTTTGTTTGTCACTAGTGACATCGTTATAGCCACTCCAATGCCTTAGTATGTTCGTTGGTTGTCTGTTGTGTGTCCATATATGAGTAGATTACTGACTCTGCAGTTGACAGTATTGTCAGTCCACATCCATTCCATCTGGACTCGGAGATACCCAGTACTTCAAAGGTATGTATTCACATCTCGTTGGCTACCTGGCCAGCCTTACCAGCAGTCAGCCTCGTACATTGTACGTACATTGCACGTTGCCATTCCTATTCTTGCTTTCATTGAGGGAAGCTACATCGGTTGAATGATTGGTTTCTCGAAAACTTTGACCAACCAGTTGTGTCATTTCGCCTCTTGAATTCAAGCAAAGAATGAGGTTGCTTTTGAAGTTTTTGTATTTTCAGTATATATTTTTTTGTGCGATGAGGTTTCTCTAGCGGTTTGAAAGACTTAGTGGTGTGGGATTGTTAGTCCCACACTCAACCTCCCCTCTTTACCCGGTCTTTGGACCGGCTAGAAAACTAGCCGGTTAGTTAGATAGGAGATGTTTAACCTGGGTGATCTGGCGAGAACCGTACGCTTTCAACTTGGTATGGTTGCTGACAGCCTCTTGGACACAAAGGTAAGAAAAGCAGAAGACGTATGCTCAGACCACTATTTCGTGCAAGGAACACTCCAAATGAAATTGTTAGCTTTCAGAGAAATCGGAGCTGCAGATAGACCACAAGTCAAGTTGACTACTCAAAAACCGAAGGATCAGTATACGAAGGATAACTTCACCTCAATCATAAGGAAAGGGGCGGGGACACAAATCAGCAATAATGAAGATACCAGCGTTGAAAAGCACTGGAACAGCCTGAAATAGGTGTGGCATCAAACCTGCATGAAAGTTCTAGACGGGACAAGCAGTTACTGAAGACGAACACATGGAGACTATGAGAAGGGAGATGGATGATCACACAAAAGATT